TGAAGCTGTCATTCGGCCAATGTCCCTTTGTCTTCAAAACCCGTTATAAGTGAATCAAGTCCCGAAGAATGTTAGGCAACTGAAATGCGACAATAGCACGCAAAATGGAGACGCGTACCGAAATCCCCAGTTATGACGCCCGCCCAACCTCTTTTGTGGCACAAGACAAGAACTCCGATCAGGCATTTTTCTGCTTCAACCAAAAGCGATTTACAACCAGAGCGTCCGCGGGACTGTCTGAGTGGGAAGTCCTCACAGGCGGGATATCAGTCAACCCAACCAGAACCGTTACTTTGGTTGGAGCAGTTGGGCAAACCAGTCTTATTCTCTGAGCGGGAACACCTTCACCTGCACTGACGTGTGTCCAGCGTGTCTTACGGGGTAGCGGTAATAAGCCCGCCTCGCATATCGCATATCTGAAGTTCAAAACCAGGTACAACCAAGTAGATGCACTGCCGATGAGTTCTTATAAGAGCAATACTCGAGTCTACAGCTTTCCTCATTTAGTGTGGTAATACCGGAATAAGAAAAACCAGTGCAGAATAAGGACTGTTCATACGAGATTGATGTGAAGGTGAATCCTATACAACCATAAACCACCTACAACAATCACCAGCTCTACTCTGGCAGATTGGTGTAAAAATCAGCTGGTCTATTCTCCAAGTTCCTCCCACCAGTGCCCCCTTTAATTCTAACCTGCTCGACCAGTGATCCTCACCCCTAATTGCTACATGTGTTTAGTGCTGAGTTCGTCTCCCTACATTGTGTAGGTTTTGTCGCAAACATACTCAACATGGACGGTTTTCCTGTTTCTCTTCAGGAGCGTAATGGCTGTACCAAATTAAACAAAATTTCGCGAAATTACAGTAAATCCTTTCCTCTTGTGCTTAAACTCTGTTAAGGAGAGACGACTACCCGCAATAGAATACTGTTCGTCCATAAAGTTGTTATCCCTGGCGTATCGTGACCTCATAAATCGAAAATGCCCCTGGACACTCCCCTTTTGTCAAAGAAAATCACTGCATTTCTGTCAGTCTACAAACGATCATCATGACCACCGTTCCAAACCCCACATCAGTTATCCGGAGTCACGTGATTGTGACTAATTCGGTTGCAGCTGGGTACCTTGAAACTTTCGTCTCGTGACCTTTGTATGTTAGCAATGCCCCGATTGTTTACCTGCATGGCCGACCAAAACAGGGGATCTCAGGCTTCATGACCTAGGTTTGATTTCGTTTTGTTCAGTGTACATATGGTGTGAAATATATATAATTTCAAAAACGTCGGACAACTGGTGTTGTGAACGAATTCCGTTTTTTTCTGACAAATCTGACGCAATCGTCACGTCATCCGTTTCCTCAGGGACCAACTAGGAAAGCAAACATTGTCCGGTGCAATGTCTGTCGGACTGCAATACCCCCCCCTTCGCAACGCCGAATAATTCAAAGAATTGGATCGATAAGAAATGCAATAATTGTCTGCGAATGGAAACGCTTGATTTTATCTGCGCTGTTTTATCTCCTCACTAACACGGTAAGCTAGGTGGATTTAGATTTGGATGAATTCCAACCAAAAATAGACCAATCGATATAAAAAACATTGGTATCTGGCAACTATTTTCCCAAGATCGATCGCCACATTTAACATGAAGATATTTTCTGCGTAAAGTATTCCAAGAGAGAAATATTTCAGGGGAATCATACTTTGTTGGTCATGTGACATTTTTTGATGATTAATACTCTGAAATGGAACATAAGATTCCGTTAAAAATGGGTGAGCGAGATGCAGCCGCTGAGAATGATAAAAAACTGAATATATCCTTTTTTAATAGCCAATGTTTACTGGGTGTGGGAGTCATTGGTCGTGTTCCAAATCAAACCGCCTTAATGCAGCTTCATTGCAAGCTAAATAGGCGCCTTGTTGCGTTGCTTTATTGAGAGGGTCCGATATTCAGTTTTATTCAGAAGGTCGATTAGAACTTTGTACAACAAGTTGGAAAACAAATCTGGTGGAAATTTGACGATCAGACCTATCTGATGACTCCAGATGAATGGAAAATGTCCGGAGTTTTCATTTATTCTATGAAGTACTTTAGATCGAGGCAGTCTTTGGTAACAACTTAACCAAGATGTTCATGTTGAATTCAGCTGAGTCTTCGATAAAACAATATGGTTCGATAATTTTGGTCGACCTGGCAGTATCCCAGCACTCGTGCCTCCTTCGTGTGGCATGGCAGCTAGACACCGAAAGGGTGCTACGGTCACTTGCATGGTGCTGACGAATCCAACACGTGATGATCTCGGGTCACAGTGATCCTGATTGGTGATAGCTTTCATTGCTTATTAGTCTTCTCGGTAAGAGGGTCAGCTTGATGGCGGAGCTTGGATCTTGGTCATTAATAACGGATGGATAAACTTATACCTTCATACAAGACCACCGATATCAGCAACCAATGCAGTAAAATGGCATTCAACTCTTCCGTAATATTCACCA